GATTTGATGTTTCATCAAAATACTCTGCATGAGATGTGATGCATGAGCAGGTGCATTGTTGTGATGAAGCTGCAAATCACCAGCTCCCCTTAGCTGTGCCATTCTGAATCATGCAAATAGTTTCTATGGAGGAATGTTTAAGCTTAATGCAAAATTTGATGCAGATTCATTGCTTTACTTGCTAAGTCCTTTTGAACATGAGGGTCACATAGTACAAATTCTCACTCAATGGCATCTACCACCCCCACTGACTAGTACAGAGAAGTCATCATTGTTCACTCATGCACATTCCAGTCCACTCTCCTGGGCTGCCAGGTTACATTGATGTCACACAAACCATCTTTGTTATATTAACAATGGCTGGACTTTTCCTGGACAGATCATACTGTTACAGAATTCATAAAACAGTGTGTATGTTTTATAAAATTGTTCAATCAACTAGAAATGGGTCATTTAAAATGATATATTAATCAGTTATTGGTTTGCTAATTAGAAAAGTGTCTACACATTATTCACTGTATCATGAGGTTGTTGCTTTGAGCAGCTACCTAGTCTTAATCTTGAATACCTATTCCTTATATCTCCATTTTTGTTTTAAAAGTTGTCATGTGGCTATATTTAGAATCAGCCTCTGCCTCTCGAATTTGCCTTTTGATGGGGGTGGGCAGCCAAACCCAATTTGGTTTGGCAACAAAACTACCACATTTTTCTAATAAAGATTGAGAAAATGCCAGACTCAGTTATTCAACTACATGTTACAATAAATTGAAATTTTCTAGTCTCAAATTAGAGCTTTTGAGGGTTATCATAAAAATAGAATTAGTTGAGAGTTGAATAGGACCTGGTTGTTGAAATGACATGAATTTGCAGTATTTATGAATACTTTTCACATCATTTGTACATCAAATATTTTATACCAAATGTACATTTTAGATAAGTCCATTTGAACTCTTCCATGTCAACTGAGTACATATGTAGACAATATTTAATATTTATAAAGCCCAAAGCGATATTTTTATATTGGCTAAGTCAAGTATTACAAGTGCAGTGCCAATGTTTTCTAAATCAAAACACTGGTGACATGATCTAAAAACTAGCTGCATATATATGAGAAAAAGACTAAAGCATATTAATTCATTCATTAATTGGTTGTGAAATTTCTTCATTGCTTAAAAACACAAGATATCTTTCTTATTTCAAATTATTGTGTTTTTTTCTACTTTGGAAGAATAAATTTCCTATTTGCATACTTCATTTGAGTAGACATACACAGTTGAATAAATCAAAGATAATGAAAATATACAAACTATAAGAATGATCCCTGAAAGTATAGTCTTGACAATGCAAATATACAATGGAAATAATTTTACTAAGGTAGACTTAGTAAAGGAGAACTAGTCTAAATCATTTTTGAAATTTTATACTTAAAATATGGCAATCTAAAATGTTGGAATTTGATGCAAAAACAGCACTTCTGAAATAAGCAGAATATTTGATATCCCTTTGGAGAATGCCTTGACAGCCTTAGAAGCATATTTCTAATGTATGGTAAAGGTGCTTGTAAGATGACTGAGATGAACAAATATACAATGGACTTTGTCTCAGGGAAAATGGAAATTTACTCTCTCTGGTTTAAAAGACTCAGTCTCAGTTCTACAGTATGGATATATTTCTTTTCCTTTTGGAACAGTCTGAATGTAAATTTCTTTTTTCCTCCTGGAAACTCAATCTCTTTAATCAGCTTACATTAAGCTGCTTTTGTGTTATGATATCAACGGATAAATCATTCAGTTACTACTTTAAATAAAATTGAATAATGTGAGGTCATTATTAAAAGACCATGAGAATGCTCATAGTCTTTTATTTGCTATTATTTCCCTTATTTCCTATTCTACAAACAGTAGCTGAAAAGTCAAACTGTTGAGAAAAATATTTGATTCAACCTTGCTTCAGTCAAGGTCAACATACAAGTTTGAATAATTTTCTATGTTTGTTTTTTAATATTTGCCTGTTAATATCACAAGACTATCAATCTTTTAAGATTAGGGCACATTCATCTTGTATCCCAAGGCTCAGAGCTGAGTGAGCCCTAAGAACAGGTAGCCAAGAGCCCAGTGACTAAAAGTGCCTTCCCCTTTGAAGTTTCCCTTTGTCACACCCCTCAATCAAGCCTTAGAACCCTCTTAAACTGCACCATAATTGATTTTCTTTAACTAAGTTTTATTTCAGACTGTAATTATATGACTTTCTCAAAACTGTTCTGTTATTATTTTTCAATTTTAAGATATTCACAGATTCACATGAAGTCATAAGAAATAATACAAAGATCCTAAGTGCCCTTTTACCTAGTTTTCTACAATGGTAACATCTTGCAAAACTGTAGTGTAATTAATATCAACACCAGAATATGAATAGTTAGGATACAGAATATTTCTATCACCACAGGATACCTTAGGTTATCATTTTATAGCTTCATCTACTTCACTGCTGTCCCTTCTTTAAATTCTACCAACCCCTAATCAGTTCCCCATTTCATAAATTTTGTCATTTGAAGAATTGTGTATTATTAACCTTAAAAGTAAAAAGTCAAAAAAAGAAGAAATAAACATTAATTTAAAATCCAATGACTGCAATCCTGTAAGCACTGTTTCAGGCAGAAACCCAAACAGTGTTCCAATTGTAGGGTCAAGTCAAGGGGTTTTATAAGAAAGGGAAAAAGAAATAATTGCATGAATAGATGAAGGAACTTACACTGATGTTAACAAGCTAAATTTGTCCTGAGCAATACATGGTTGGTTACTGATGCTAAAAAATGCCCATAATCATTAGTCCTTATGGTCAGGATGTCCGCTTTTTCCTGTTAGTTTACAGCTATTTATAAAATAATGCTGGTTTAGACCAGTTCAAAGATTATTTTGCCCCAGACAAATATTCCAAAGGCTTCAAGGAGTAAGACGTGCAAAGCATTTCCTGTGGACTGGTGCCTCAGACTCCATTTTGGAATGGCTCTGTTTATTTCATTTTTTACAATAAAAGTGAAATAATGTAGTCTTTGATGTATGGGGATTAGATGTTTTTCTCCACATAAATCCCTGGAGATTTTTCCAAATTCTTTGATGTTTCTTTTTGTTGCTTAGTAGTGAACCTTGGATAAAAGCATTTGGTCCGTAACTAAGAATGTTGAATGCCAGAGGGAGAAATGCTGTATAGCAAGTACCCTAATGTAGGCCAGAAGTCAGGTAAATAGAAGAATTCTGACAAAAGGGTAATTCATTGTACATGGAAATCCTTACAGAAGCCATCTAAATCTAAATAATATTGTAACAAAATGTTGGTCATTGATGGTAATATTTTGAGGAAATATCACCAGTTACAGCAACAGAATATTAGAATAGATTCATTTTGTGAAATAAAAAATAAAAGTAATTGGCTCATGCTAATTTTTCTTGCTTTTCATGATTCAGAATTAGTAGTGTTGACCCATTCTTTTGAAATTTAATATATCTAAAATGAGGTTTTCTGACCTTATGACTTATAAAATTATCTATGTCAAAGTCATGATGCCTAAGATATGAAATAACTTCTGAGTAAGTCAATGGTTAGTTATTATCTGTCTCAATAGTGACTTAAATGCTGGAGTCAAAGTACATCCTTCAGAAACCTGAGAGATTATATGGAGAGCATATATAATCTCTAAGAGCATGAGAGATTATATAGAGAGTAATGGGAAATTCTTAGACAGTGAAAGGTAGTGGAACCTCTGAAATTAATATGTTGGTGGTAAAGAAGTGTGGAAACAAATAATTAACTCTTCTATGGCATTGAAGAAGAAGTCAAGGGTTATTATCTGTGATTTATAAGATCGGTCTCCAGTAGCATGCATGCACTCCATAGAGCACTAAAATCAATAAAATGCAATTCAATTATTTATATATTTCATTCTTCTCTCCCTCCCTGTTTCTCTTTGTCCATTTATGTATATAACAATTATGTATAATTATATATAATGACAAAAATAAAGACATTGAACTTTATTCCAATAAAATTTATAGACTCACACTGGCAACCTTACTTTGTCCTTATGATGGGGGAACTCAAAAAGAGTTAAAGATTTTATACTTAGTTGATAGATTAAGTGATTAAAACACTTGGAAAGCTATTATTCCAGGAACCAGAATACATCACCTACGTGACTCTGGGATGTTGACAAGCAATTCAACCTTTGTCAAATGGAGATGATATCTGAGCCATTGTGCTCCAGGGAGGGAACGTCTGTGACACAGATAAAGAATTATTGATTATCAGATAAAGAAATACTAGGAAAATTGTCCTCAGACTGCAGCTCTTTTCCAAATAACATGCTGTCCAAGTCCTTTACCTCCATTTTCTTCTAATAAAAATGTTGGCTTGGGATGAGATATTAAGATGGTTTTGAGAGTATATAGCCCACTGTTCTATCAAATCAGTGGCATCTGAATAAAGCACCTCTGAAGATTCAGTCTTGTCTCTACCTATTGGTTCTTGTAGTGATAGGCAGCACAAAAATACCGGGTTTTCTGTTTTCACTCATGTCAGATAATCACAAACCATGTATGACAGCACTACAATATTCTGAGCAAACAGAAAAATTCTAGGAAGACAAAGAAGTTGACAGGGGTACTCTCAATTGTTGTTTTAACTGAGATGTAATTGATGTATAACATTATATGAGTTTCAGGTGTACAACAAAGTGATTTAATGATGTATATATTGTGAAATGATCACAAGAAGTCTAGTTATCATCCATCACCACACATAGTTATCATTTTAAGCATATAACAAAGAGAAATTAAAACCTTTTGGGAAATATTTGGTTCTAATCAATCTATTATGAAGACTCAAGTATCTTCTTTGCAAGTTCAAAGACCCAGAGCTTAAATTAAAAAAAAACTAAGCAGGTAAATTTATACTTTTAAACTTTATTTCATTTAGTCTTTAAGAATAGTAAAAACATTGTGGCAAGTAGTTAAAATCATACAGTACTGATTTTTCATATGTAAACTTTGAAATTCTTTGAATATTCTATTACAAATCATTAACATTATTAAGTAAGCAAATATATAGAGTTTTCTTTCACTACATGTTTAAAGAGATATTTTTCTAATTAAAGTGCCATCAAAGGAGTTGGACAAAGAGTAGGTAATTCTTAGATCTCTGAACGAAACTTCAGTGTAGAACCTCTCATTTTCTTTTCATAATCCTCTTCAAATTTCTCATATTGGGCTACAGTGAACTTGTTTTTCCAGTCTCCTGCAATGCCTGAAAATAAAGATAAATCATCAGTTTGAGATTACTGTAAAAGTACTTTCTAAGATCAGTTTTAGTTTGAATCATCACACTTACATTTTTAAGTCTTTAACTTTAGAATGCCATATTCACTCCATAACTCCATTCCTTAACTACTACTGCCACTCCCAGACTCCTAGACCTTCTTAGTTTTCCAAAAATTCCTATGTATTTTCCCCACATCTTATATAAAGAAGAAAATATTTTAAGGAGCTTCAAGATATGTCACCGGGAGAATAGCCAACATATCAAATATTTATTCTTTGGCTTTAAGAGATTTGTTAGCAAAGGATACAGAGAATTTTTCAGTCATTTTAAAACCTTATTTTTCAATGTCAGATGATAATTTATTTTTAAAAATTCTATGATCAAGTAAGATTGGAAAATTATTGGGTTAAATGTAATTGAATATGTTTTTATTACAGGATTGTTCAATCTTCAAAATGCTGACCATATCTAAAACCTCAAAGGAAGGATACAGTACACAAAATTTGAAATAAATATGTGATAAAGCAGTGCCATTTTCATAGAATATTTCACAGAGTAACCCAGAAGATACACCTGGAATCTGAGGATTTCTCAACTTTGGCATTGTGTTTATATCTGCACTATTGGCATTTGATGCCAGGCAATTCTTCTTGAGAAGGATGTGGGCATTCTCTCTGCATTTTAGGATGTTTAACAGCACCCTTTGTTTCTACATATTAGATGTCAGTTACATACCCCTATCATGATCATCAAAAATACCTCCAGATATTGCCAAATGTCTCCTAGGAGGCAAAATCATCGGTGTTTGGGATTCAGATATCCCCAACTATGCTTATCCATGGCATACTTACTTTTTAAAAGAAAAATCTCTAGAATGCATGGCGACACATTGTAATTAAAATTACTCTTAATAGTTCCCTTCATAGTCTCTCACCAAAACACCTGTTTCTCCAAAACTGTCTCAGTTTGGAAGATTCATTCTTTCCTTCACTGTTAAATTTTATATCTCTGACAATTGTCATATGCTGTGTGATTCTTCCTTGCCTCTCTAACTGTGGGCTTAAATTTTTTATATGCTTTGGACAGTGGAATTTGAATAGGTACAATATATACCACATCTGAACAGAAACTTTTAAAAAGCATTGCCAAGTTTCCACTACCTCTCTTTCTCTTCCTCTAAACCATAACATTGGCACATCCTACAAAGCGGCAGCTCTTTCAGCTGGGGTTTCAGAAAGGGAAGATACAAGAGGCTAAGCCCATAAGAGTCAATAAACACTGATCAGACTCAAAAAGAGCTGAGCACAACTGCCACAGCCAGAGGGTGACTTATAACCACTAATATTAAGTGAAAATTAATCTTGTGGTTTTAAACCACTGAGATTGTTGGGAGTTTGTTTTATATCAAAGCTGAGTAATACATACAAGACTAACAAAATTCATCTCTCTCTCTCTCTCTTCCCCTCACATACAATTCAATAAAACTCATATTTATTACATGTTAAGGTACTGTTTTGTGCAAGATGATAGTTATACATTGAATTCAAAGGCAAGGACACAATGATTTACCATAATCATAGCAACAACCTCAAGGAGTTGACACTTTTCCTCATTAATTTAGTATGTCTAACATCATGTAAGCTTGCTACTGGCCACAGCAAAATTTCTAAGAAATGAAGAACAGATATCTAGATAATTAAGACAAGTGAAGGACATTCTTCTGATATAGAAATTGGTGCCAAGACTCATGCTTATTGATACATAGGCTCTTGAGTAAACATTTCTCATTAGAGACTTCTCTTACATGTTAGTGTTGCAGCAATGATAGTTTCTTTGCCATAAATTATATTCTCATAAGTTTTTGGTTTTCCTAATTTTTTCTCATTCTCTTTCCATCTCATATAATATTGCTCCTATTAATTCACCTATACTCTCTTTAATGTGGCTATCAAGCTCTATAGCAGCTAATATATGATGTTCTCACCCTTTCTCATGAAGGGAGACACAGTATGATCCATATCAAATGTTGGTACAGTAGTATAATTAGCACAAGGATTCTGCTTCATCACATCAAAAGAACTATGATAGATGATTTTATTCACAGTTTCTTCTGGTAGATCTTTATCTAGAAACTTTAACAACTTCTGAATTTCACGCTTTGGATCCTAAAAGAATATAAAGACAAGGAAATATTTCAGGTAGAACTAGTCATGAAGTAGGCAAATACATTCAGTTAGGTTCTACGTATGTCAATATGGTAGAGGAAATTATTTTATATTTCATCCATACTTTTCATTTTGCTTTCCCAGGTACATATTCCATAAATAAGGAAATTAACATTGTTTCTCCACTGTGCTCGCCACTTGGGGAAGCAACTATGGACAAGATGCTTTGAGTTTCTGCATTAATGTATCTTACATTATAGTAAAGGAGACAAGAAAGCATAGGTAAAGAAACACATACATAAAATAATTAGAAGTGGTAGTAGATACTAGTAAAAGAACAATAGCAATAAAACAGACTCTAATAGATAATAACAAGGTAGGTTATTTGACATCATGGACATAAGAGAATTTTATGAAGAAGTAACATTTAAATGAAGACACGTAGGTTCACTTATAGAGACAGGAAATGGTGGCCTTGTAGGGGCTGGAGAGAGAGACAGGGACAAAAAAATGTTTAACTTTATATATTATCTTAATGATTTCATATTTCACATAGAGACAGAAGCCATGAAGAGTTTTGAAAAAGGAAGTTGGCACTATTTTGATTTAGGTTTCAAGATCATTCTCTCTGAATGGATAAGAGACACAAAATGAGATAGTCTGAATAAATCAAGATAGTTGCCTGAACGAGGGTAGGAAGTAGTGGTGGTAGAAAGAACTGGATTGAAGGAAAGGTGAATTTTCAAGTCAGACTTAGTAGGATAGTAGATTAGTCATATTTATAGATCAAGAGGAAAGGAAACTGTGATACGAAGAAGGTTAAGCTTAGGTTTCCTTAAAAAATAAAGAAGAAATTGTGGTTGTCTCTCACCTCTTTCATGTCTTCATAGAATAAGTAGAGGATACGACAATCTTTCCTTTTCTCCCACCAACCCTTCACATGGTCATACCAAGAGCCAAAACACACTACATTAAAAGATAAAATGTTTGTAAAATTAAAACTACTTACATAAAGAATAGTTCAATGTTATTCCAAGTTATCATTATTAATACATACATACTATTTACTAATTAGTTCAAGAGAAAGAGACAGTAGTACAACAGAACTATATCAAATCATCCCTGCTCTCACTGAATTTACAGTCTAAAAGAAGGATGAAGTACTTCTGGTATGGGATGAATTGTGCTCCCCAGAATTCTTACGTTGAAGTCCTGAACTCCAGTCAGTACTTTAGAATATGACTGAATTTAGACATGAAATCTGAAAGGAGGTAATTAAGTTAAAATGAGGTCATTAGGATAGGTCCTAATCCAGATGATTATTCTCAAACCATAAAATTTAATGGAATTTGCCTTGCTAGATTTTAGGTGTTTTTTTGCTTCTGATTTATATTTCTTTGGTTTCATATGAAAATGTATATCTTATATCTGTCCCAACACTATTTTGTAAGATTATCTGGTTTCATAGGTTCACAGCTAAAAAAGGATTTTGTCTTAAAATGAACCATACCTTAACTCTCGCCTATACCTGATTTATATGATATTTAGATGAGATTTTAGATCCAGAGTTGATGCTGCAATAGTTTAAGACTTCTGGAGCTTTGGAGATGGAGTGAATGTATTCTGCATGTAAGGACATAAATTTGGGGGGACTGGAAGGCAGAGTAGAATGGCTGAATTGTGTATACCCCAAAAATCATGTGTTGAAGTCGTAAGCCCAGTACCTCAGAATGTGACTATATTTGGTCTTCAAAGAGGTAAGTTAAAATAAGGTTATTACTGTAGGTCTGTGTTCAGAATGAGTGCCACCAAGATGTGCCATTCTGATATGCAGACTTTTTCAAACTGAAAACAATCAAGGCTCAGAGGCTCAGGAAGGAATTTTGACCTTCCCCTTTACTGATTAAAAGTATTTAAGATAGTAGGTGTGCTCCAGGAAGGATCGTATCATTATGGATAATTCCAATTTAATTTGAACTAAGAATGGTAGACAGGGAGCAACCTACCAAAGCCCATTTGATCAAACTTTTTCATGTGTCTCATTGTTTTAAGGTAGTCATAAATATTTGTTTACTGAAAACCCCTTGGTCATTTGCTTCATTTCCCTCATTCTTCCTCTTTTGTTCAGAATGACATATATACCTCATTTTGCCTGTCTGTCTTTGAATTTTCATTTTTATGTGAATTCTCCATGTGCATGTATTAAAATTTGATTTCTCTTTTCTTAATCTGCCTTAGGCCATTTTAATCATTCTACTAGCCAGAAGAACTAAAAAGGAAAGGGGGAAGTTTCCACATCCCCAGCAAATCCTAATCCCATAGGACTGGTCTCCTTATAAGAAGAGGTAATTACAACACAGACATATACAGAGAGCAGATCATGTAAAGATGCAGAGAGAAGATGGTCATCACCAAGCCAAGGAAAAGGGCCTCAGAAGAAATCAATCAGGAGGACTTCTTGATCTTGGACTTTAGCTTCCAAAACTGTCGGAAAATAAATTTTTCTTGTGTAAACCACTCAGTCTGTGGTACTTTGTTGTGACGACATTAGCAAATGAATACAACTTTTGCTAAATAAAACTAAAACTAGAAGAGCAAGATCGCAGAGAATAATGCAAACAATAAATAGTACAGCTGTTCATAGAAGAGGGAAAGAAAGAGAGAAAAGCATCGGGAAAGGAGAGGTGAAGAAAGGGCTCGGAGATAGCAGAATATATCTGGTTCTAGGAAGAGTAGCAATTTCACAGTGGAGATAACTGGCAGGCCTGGTGATCAAAATTGATGATACCAGAAGATGACAAACTGACACCTTGCATTTCCTGATATGATGCAAGAAGAATTCACCATCACTTCTATGGTATCCCACCAAAAATTCATAACTTCAATATAATCATGTGGAAAAATCAGGCAAACCCCCAGCTGAGGGACATTCCGTAAAACAACTGGTCCGTCTTATTTTATGACCTTTACAATTGTCCAAGATCACAGACTGAAGAGACATGACAACTAAATGTAGTATATGATGTGTGATCATGGATTGGATCATGGACCAGAAATATGTACATATTGCTATTAAAAAACATTATTGGGACAATGGGCAAAATATGAACAAGGTCCATAGACCTTAAGTATTGTAGCAATATAAATACCTGAGTTTTATCATAGTACTGTATTTATGTAAGAGAATACACTTGTTCTTAGAAAATACATGTGACAATATTTAGGAAAATAAAAAAAGAATGCATAGATATTCTATGGATAGAAAACAGTCCAAACAATGGCAGGAGCAAAAATTTGTAAGATACTATTGAGATGCATTTGCCTTGAAAGGAGACTTTTTATTAAAAAATGTTTATATGAGAATTAAAAGTAGAGTTACTACCATGGGTATGAGTATGTTTTCCTGAAAGAGGATATACAGATAGAAAAAGAAAACCTTGAGGATAAAAATCATTATTTAAGAACTTTCAGTTTATAGAATAAAACTGAAGGAAAGGTAAAGAAAAGAGAGTCCACGAAAAATGTATAAAATCAAAACAATAAAATAGCATAGTTAGCAAGAGAAGAAAGTACCTAGTAGTAGTCACCAAGTACTAATGAAACAATGAGACAAAGGGCTGAAAAATCTGTGTGTCACCTATTCTTCAAAAGTTCCTAAAGGGAAGAGATGACTATGTATTATCCTTCTTCTATTGTCTTCTTAACACATTAGTAGAGTGCTGGTCACATATTAGGTTTATAATAAATATAAAATTATATCTGAATTTTATATCTCCTGACCAAAAAATATTAATCTTTATATTATGGAACTTCATGATTAAAATAAGAGTTGGACTCACCTTTCCCAGTCATGAATTTATCCAGAAACTCCTCCCAGGTACCAGGTTCTGGGTGCAGTTTTGCCATTTGGTAGAAATGATAGTAAGACACAGCCACATCTTTAGCATTCCGTGCCACATAGACAATCTGTGGCGAATATGAGAAATCATAATTTTATTCACTACTATCAAGCCAATATTACAAGAAATGTTGAAGAGTCTTCTTGAGGAAGAAGAAAAAGGAGGTGGAGGAGAAAGAGAATGAGAAGAATGAGGAGGAGAAGAAAAAGAAAAAGAAGATGGAGGAAAAAGAGGAGAAGGAGAGGAAGGAGAAGGAGAAGAAGAAGAGGGAGGAGGAGGAGAGAAAAAAAGGAGAAGAGAGAGAAGAAGAGGAAGATAATTTTGAAGAATAAAATGGCAATAAATAAATACCTATCAATAATCACTTTAAATGCAAATGGCTTAAAGGCTCCAATCAAAAGACATAGGATAGCTGAGTGGGTAAGAAAACACACCTCATAGTGAAAAACACATAGACTAAAAATAAAAGCATGGAAAAGAGGTTTTGTGCAAAAATAATACTATATCTGACAAAATTAACTTTGAAACAAAGACTTTAAAGAAACAAATAACACTACATTATGATAAAGGGATCAAGACAACAAAAGGATATAATCCTTGTATATATTTAAGCACCCAACATAGATTTACCTAAATACATGAAACATATCTTGATGGACATAAAGAGAGAGTCCAACAGTAATACTGTAATAGTAAGGGATTTTAACACCCCATTGACATCAATGGATAAATTTTCCAGGCAGAAAATCAAAAAGGAAACAGCAGCCTTAAATGACACACTAGACCAGAATAATTTAATTGGTATCTTCAGAGCATTTCACCCCAAATCAGTAGAATATATAATATTTTTAAGTGCACATGGGATGTTTTCTAGGATAGATCACATGTTGGGACACAAGAAAAGTCTCAATAAATTTAAGAAGATTGAAATCATATCAAGCATCTTCTCTGACCATAAGGGTATGAAACTAAGAACCAATCACAAGAAAAAAACTAGAAAACACACAAAGACAGAGATGCTAAATAGCAGGTTACTAAACAGTGAATGGATTAACAGTGAGATCAAGAAAAAAATCAAAGCATATCTTGAAACAAATAAAAGTGAGAACAAAACAAACTAAAACTTATGGGACACAGCAAAAGCAATCCTAAGACGGAAATTCATATCATTACAGGCATATCTTAGAAACAAGAAAAATCTCAAATAATTAAACAAATAACAAAGACCAAAGTGAGTAGAAGAAAAGAAGTAATAAAAATCAAAGCAGAAATAAATGAAATAGAGTCTAAAAAACAATACAAAAGATCAATGAAACCAAATGCTAGATTTTTGAAAGAATAACTGGATTGATAAACCTTTAACCAAAGCCATCAAGCAAAACAGAGAAAAGACCCAAATAAAAAATAATAATAAAGGGAAGAAGTAACAACTTACACCAAAAAATTAAAACAATTGCACAAAAATATTATGAACAATTCAATAAGCCAACAAAGTGGGTAATCTGAATGAAATGAATAAATTCCTAGAAATATACAATGTTCCAACTCTGAATCAAGAAGAATCAGAAAATATGAGTAGATTGATGACAAATAATGAAATTGAAGCAATAATCAAACAGATCCCAATAAATAAGAGTCCTGGACCTGATGGTTGAATCAAAGGTGAATTTTACCCAGCATCTAAAGAAGAACTAACACCTATTCTTTTCAAACTATTAAAAAAAAATATCCAAGAGGAGGGAAGACTTCCAAACTCTTTTTATGAGGCCAACATTATCCTAATTCCAAAACCAGATAAAAACACTATAAAGAAAGAAAATTATAGAACAATAACCTTGATGAAAATAAATGTTAAAATCCTCAATGAGATATTAACAAACCAGGTCCAGCAACACATTCAGAGGATCATACACCATGATCAAGTAGGCTTTATTTTGGGAATACAAGGTTGGTATAATATCACAAATTCATTAACATGATACACCATATGTACAAAATGAAAGGTAAAAACCTTATGATCATATCAATAGATGCAGAAAGAGCATTTGATAAAACCTAACACAAATTTATGATAAAAACTCTCAGAAAGGTGGGATAGCAGGAACAATCCTCAACATAATGAATATACCATATATGACAGTCCCACAGCCAACATCCTACTCAATGAGTCAATACTAAAATTGTTTCCCTTCAGGTCAAGAAAAAGACAGGGATATCTGCTTTCAGCTCTCATTCACTATGATGCTGGAAGTGCTAGCCACAGCAAGTGGGCAAGGAGAAAAAAAATGCATTCAGATTGGAAAGGAATAAATAAAACTGTCACTATTTGCAGATGACATGATGATGAATATAGAGAACCCTAAAGTTTCCACCAAAGAACTACTGAAGCTGATTAATTCACTAAAGTGTCAGATATAAAATAAATATCCAGAAAGTAGTAGCATTTTCTGAACTATCAGAAAATGAAACTAAGAAAATAATCCCATATACAATTGCATCAAGATAAAATAAAATACCTAGGAAAAAATTTAACCAAAAATGTAAAAGACCAGTACTTGGAAAATTGTAAGACAATGAAAAAAGAAATTGAAATGCAAATAAGTGGAAGCATGTACTGTGTTCATGGATAGAAAGCATTAAAATCATTAAAATGTCCATACTACCCAAAGCAATCCATAGATTCAAGACAATTCCTATCAAGACACTAATGTCATATTAGTATTTCACAGAACTATAACAAATATTCCAAGAATTTGTATAAAACCACAAAATACCCCAAGTAGCCAAGCAATCTTGAAGAAGAACAAAGATAGAGGAATCACTCTACCTGATATCAAATTATTCTACAAGGCCGAAGTAATCAAAAAAACATGGCACGGCATAAAAACAGACATTTAAATCATTAGAAGAGAATAGAGAACCCAGAAATAAATCCATGGCTTTTTGGTAGATTAATATTTGATAAAGAAGGCAAGAACATACAATGGAGGAAAGACAACGTTGGGAAAATTAGACAGACACATGCAAAAAAATGAAAAGAAACCACCTTCTTACACCATACACAAGAATAAACTCAAAATGAATTAATTACTTTAATATAACCCCCAAAATCATAAAAATCCTAGAAAACAAAATAGGCAGTAAAATATCAAATATTTTTCATAACAATATTTTTTCTTGTACATATCATCAGGCAAGGTAAACAAAATAAAAAGTAAAATGGAACTATATCAAACTAAATAGTTTTTTCACAGAAAAGGAAACCATCAACAAGATGAGAAGATGAGCTACTGAAAGGGAGCACATATTTGTCAATGATACATCTGATAACGTGCTAATATCCAAAGTTTATAATGAACTTATACAACTCAACACTGAAAACACAAACAATACAATTTAAAAAATGGACAAAACATTTAAATAGACAGTTCTTCAAGAAGATGTACAGATGGCCAATAGACATATAAAGAGATGCACAACATCACTAAGAAGAAATGCAAACTAAAACCACAATGAAATATCACCTCACACTTGTCAAGATGGTTATCATCAATAAATCAACAAACAGCAAGTGTTGGAAAGGATGTGGAGAAAAGGAAACTCTCCTGCACTGTTGATGGGAATGTAGGTTGGTATGGCCACTGTGGAAAATAGTATGGAATTTCCTCAAAAAAATTAAAAATGGAACTGCCTTATGACCCAGCATTTCCACTTCTGGGAATATATCTGAAGAAAACTGAAACACTAAATTGAAAGAATATATACACTCCTATAGTCATTGAAACATTATTTACAGTAGGCAAGATTTGGAAGCCACCCAAGTGTCCATCAGTAGATGAGTGAATAAAAAAGCTGTAGTACATTTACACAACAGAATACTATTTGGCTGTGGGGAAAAAAAGGAACTGTTACTATTTTCAACATCATGGAATGACCTGAAGAGCATTATGGTACATGAAATAAGCCAATCTGAGAAAGATAAATACCATAAGATTTCACTTATGTGTGGAATTTAATGAACAAAATCAACAAAATAGAAACAGACTCATAGATTCAGAGAACAGACTGGTAGCTTTCAGAAGTGAAGGGGGTTGGATGGCTGGGTGAAAAAGGTGAAGGGATTAAGAAAAAACTCATAGACATAGTATGGTAATTACCCGAGGAAAACAGGGTTGGGAGGAGGTAGAAGGAGGTAAAGGGAGTATAAATGGTGATAGAAGGAGACTTGACTTTAGATGGAGAACACACAATACAATATACAGATGATGTATTATAGAATTGTATAATTGAAACATAATTTTATTAACTGTCACCCAAATAAATTCAATAGTAACTTTTTAAAATAAGAAATTATCTAATCAAAGGAGTTGTATTCAAAGCATATGGAGTATTTCTCTTTAATAATATAAAGGAAGGAGCTCCTATAGGGAAAAAAAGGCAAAAAACTTGAATAGATACCTCAGAAAAATATCTAAGCAATGTAAATCTTCTTCACCTAATTAGCCATTAGAGAAATACAAAGTAAAACCACAATGAGATGCCACCTGACATTTGCTAGTATGGCTAAAGTTAAATATTTTTAGCAATATCTTGAGTTACTTCAACTTTTACACAATGTTTTCAAAGTTTAAATTGGTGTATATGATTTGAAAAGATGTTTGAAAATATCTACTAAAGGTGAACAAATGCATACCTTAAGACCCAGCAATTCCATACCAGGATATCTAACAAAGAAAAATGTGTACATATATATGCAATGAAAGGCTTGTGTAAGAATGTACATTGCTGCACTATTTTAATTTCTGACAACTAACAACAACCCAACTGTCCACCAATAGTACCACAGATAAGTAAGCTATGAAATATTCAGATACACATAATGAAATGCCTAACATCAGTGGTTCTCAAACGTTGACATGAATCAAATTCACCAGGTCTTATTAAAACTGAGATGACTGGATCCCACCTCCACTGTTTCTGATTCAGTAGGTCTGAATTGGGCCTGAGAATTTGTACCTCTAATGAGCTTCTTTTGCTCAGGGTATCATATTTTGTGATCTAGAAGGCTACAATAAACAAAACAGAAACAAAATAACAACAATGATAAGAATTGATCTCACAAACATTATGTTAAATGAAATTAGCTCAATATTCAAGACTACATATTTGATGATTACAGACAAAACAAACAAACAAATTTATGACGAAAACTTTCTGGGTAGGGGTTATCTTTGGAGATAGGGATTCTTGCCTAGAAATGTACTAGAACAGAGCATTTAGGGTGCTGTTAATGTTCAATTTCTTTTAAAAAAATATTTTATTTATTTTTAGAGAGAAGGGAAAGGAAAAAAAAAAGAGGGAGAGAAACAGTGATGCATGAGAGAAACACAGATCAGTCACCTCTTGTATACACCCAATCCAGGACCAGGCCCACAACACAGGCATGTGCCCTGATGGAGAATCTAACTGGAGACCTTAAGGTTCACAGGCCAGAGCTCAATATACTGAGCCACACCAGCCAGGGTATAATGTTCAATTTCTTGATCTAGGTGCTGGTTTCATGGATATGTTCACTTTGTGAAAATTCATCAAGATATAGATTATGTTATATGCACTTTCTTCCTGATATTACTTTTGAAATAAGAGGATTATTACAAAAGAAGTCTAAAACTAATCCATAAATTATATGTTATATATAAAATATATATTTATACATATTATATCTAATTATAATATAAATATATAAATGTATAAATATAAAATAATATAAATAACATATCATTTATATATTATATATTGTATATAATTTAAATATAATTATATATAATATATTTATAATTATATGTATTTATAAATATAATATATAATTTATATATAATTATATATTTATAAATTGCTACCACACTGAATTCATGAATAAGCAGGTCTGGGGTTATTTAAATGTCTACTGTTTATAGGTAGACAGTGATGAAAAGATTTAGACAGGAAGGTGGGCATTGTAAAGAACTAAAAACTTGAGAGAGTCTCAGGGTTTGGGCACTGAGTGTAATCCCTTACCTATAGCACTGAAATCCATTGGTATTATTTTTATCCTTAGGATATAGGGACCACATTATTAGTTTTCCAATGATTTACCCAAGGGTTGAAATCCCCCATATTAATGCCTAAATAATTAGTAAAAGAAATTACAACACAAATAAGGATTTTTTCTTAAAATTTGCTACCTTGCAGTTATTCTTCCAAAATGAAGAAGGAAGAAGTTGAACAGGTAAGTGTGTTTTCACTAATCGAGGAGACTGCATCTTTTTCAAATCCTCAATGCCTACAAGCATAAAAGTTAAATCACATTATAAATGTGGAATCATAAAGGTCAATTACACTATAATCTAAGACTTTGTAAACTTTAACTCCACTATATAGCTTGAAATGGCTAAAGGCCTCATATACTTCTAAAATGTGCAATGAGATTCTTTTAAATGATAAATCCTGGTTAGTTAGGCTGTTTTACTGCCTATGAGTAGTAGAGTTTATTCTCTTTATAAGTGTCTATAAAATCTTCAGCTATACCTTCATGAGGCGGACACATCAGGAGGTCATGTGCAAAAACATCCACATTTTCTATCATGTATTTTCCTCTTTGTCTCATTTTACAATGTGGGAAATCACTTTCCATCTTTCTTTCTTGACATCCTAAAATATCTTTTTTCAAATTCGTTTTTTATTTACAGTTGACATACAATATTATATATTAGTTTCATGTGTACAACACAGTGATTAGATGTTACAATATCTTATGAAATAATCATCCCAATTTAAATTTAGTACCATTTACATCCCCATGACTATTTTTTATTTGTAAATTTCTTTCCAACTTTCTTATATTAAAATTCTGAAATCAAATTAAGGTGTAAGGTTCATGGCTAATTTAAAAATTTTTGATAACGTAAGACCTTATATGCACATAATTCTTTTTCTTGAGTCTGAACATCAGATAACTAGGAGCAGATGTGATTTTATATTGGATCAAACACTGAATTTTTACTGTATAATGATCACTTAGTATTCAGAATTAAATACTTCCTTCTGTCCTGTTAATAAAAAATATACTCATCAAAATCTCCTTTTATACAGATATTATCTTTGGGGGAAAGAAGAGTATAGTATGGTTGTTGGAATAACCAAATTCTTACTCTTCTATTATAGAAACTTATGATTCAGCTGTTCAAGCTCTGTCTGTGTCATTTTCTATCAGGACTCCACTAGACACCACAAATTAAAAAATAGGGAAATTTACTCTTATAGTGAAAAGGAAATACCATTTTCAATTCCAGGTACTATAAGTTCCATGAATGGTACTCGGTTGTATATTGCATCCCGTTTACATTTCTCAACATCCCCATTGTTATAGATCAAATCCAGGATTTCACTGACCCAGGTTGTGCCTGAAAAAAAAAATAGGAAGAACTCTAAACTTTGCTGTCAAAAAGAGAATGAGAGGGCCACAAGAAGTTTTGTAATATCAAAAACAAAAATGTGCTCTTTGTATTCATTCCTTTTCTCTCTTTTCCTAGCGGATATCCTTATCTGTCTTGAACATATACATATGCAGTGTGTGTGTGTGTGTGTGTGTGTATGTGTGTGTGTGTGTGTGTGTGTGTGTGTGAAATCTGATTAAAATGTTCACAAAAGTAAAATGTGGGGTATAAAAGAGACATTGTGGGCCCTGGCTGGGTAGCTCAGTTACGCTAGAGCATTTTCCTGATATGCCACACTTGCAGGTTAGCGCTCTGGTCAGAGCACATATACGAAGCAACCAGTGAATGTATAAATAAGTGCAATGATGTAAGGTAAGTGGAGACAGTCTGGCTTCCTGACCCAAGTGCTTGGGTAACTAGAGGGAGCAGCTTCTCACAACCTTGAAGGAGTGTGATAAAGCAGTGTTCACATAGCCTTGAGTTTGGGTACAATAAATTGCCCCTTAGCCATGAGTGGGCTCATACGTGCTGCTCATGCTATGTTACTTCAATTCTTGGCCTGAGGCTGGCTTTGTTACTTCTAGTACTTATGAAAATAGGGGCTTCTCAAGGAGAGAGGGAGTGAGGGCACACAAAGACACAGGCTCGTGGCCTGTGTGACTCCCCCAAATAAAGACATGTGAAGCATTCCCATGGCTCCATGCATTTTCTTCCATTTCCCTGAGTCTTGAGTGGATCTGCCAAGTCTAGTGAGGCTGCAACACAAACAACAAACTGTTTCTCTCTCCCACCTCCTTTCAAAATCAATACATAAAATTTTTAAAAAGAGAGACATTGTGTAGGTAATGATGCCGCATCTTCCTGTGTGGGATAGATGGGGGAAGCAGCCAATTTTAGTGAGTTTGAACACCAATTTGTACATTTCCTATTAATATCAAAAAGACTATTATTCTTTGGGACTGAGGTTACTTCCAGTAAAAATGTACAACATTTGGTGGAAGGGTGAAGAGAAACAAGGGGTTGAAAGGAAACAAAGGGAATTTTTTGTGATTGTATCTGTAGTGACCAGTGGGATGCTAACAAAATCAAAGACTGCATATCCTGTTTGAGCACAGTGGATCAAGTCACTCTGGTCTTCAGTCTCTGAGAAATGGATCTAATGTACATAAGCATATGGTCTACTTAACTATGTGACTTGATAATCAAATTATCAAGGTACTGTTAAAAAGTCATTATAAGACATAGCAGAAAAGTATCTTTTTCACTGTTCCTATTTCCTTCCTCTTTACCAAATGTGCAATGATAGTCTCTAAATTGAATAATCATTGATGGAAACTAAAAAACTACATTAAATAATCTATGCAAAGAGTAAATTTTTAGAAAAATTATCTGTTTTTGGAAGTACCTTTGAATTAGTTCCAGATATTAGAGTACTTTATGCCTCATTTTTAATTAGTCATTTCTGTGGATGATTCTTACTCCTTCTTGTCCCTAAACCATGAGTACAAGACTCATCCCCATCCTTCTAACTCAGACAACTACAGTGCTAGGTAAAAGGTGGGACAAATCAGTATTATACCTGAATATTTTGTTGCCTGATCTGGCTTAGACTTAAGCAATGATTCACAGAGCAAAACAGATCTAAATTCAACACATTTTCTATCAGTAGGTGGTTCAAATTTTCACCAATGTATCTGATCAAAAGAAATGTCAATATAGATATGTTTTGAATTGAAAATGTTTATTTAACATGACTTTAAAAAAGATATGGTTTAGTTCATGTAAAGAGTTAGTTAACTTGGATCTTAGCTGGGAACAAAAGAAAAGAAAAAAAATGACCAAAGAGAGTATTTGATTAATTTATTTGTAACCATCTAGCCATCTAACATTTAGTACATCAGAAAAAAAAATTAGCTTCAAACAGCACCTTTGTAGATGAACTATTTGTGTAATATATCTTCCAAAGGTTATCTTAAGAGTTTTCTATTTGTCAATACATCAAAAACAGATAAATCAAATAAGCATGTACAGTCTCAGTGATTGTTCTCCCTCTTCTAACCCTGTATCTCAACAAGAAAATACAAAGTAGTTATAGTGCTAAATAATTTGGGTTTGGGGAACTATTCTGAGAGCAATGTAAGTAGTAAGAAAAGAAAGAAAAAAAAGAAGCTTTTGCCAAGCTTGTTTTTTAATATCTATAAAAATCTGTATGGTACATTTGTTTACTTTCTGGTAGGACCACATTGCTCATACAATATTTATAATTTTGGCCCATAAAAGTCCCCAAATTCAGGACTTTCTTCCCGGAACTTGTTAAGTATTTTTTTGAAGTAATTTTAATATTTATATTAAATATTAATATAACATATAAAAATATAAAATATTAATATTTATAAAGAGAAGATCAGTGGTTAATATAATTAAAAACATTTTTCTCATTTCTAATAAGAAATGAGACAAGAATATAAATGAAAATTGACTTTAGAGTTTGGTAATTAGAACAGCTGACTTATCATGGGCTCAAGTAAATGAGTTGGTTAAAAGGTTGAAGAGAGCCTCATTTCTCTGATATTTCTCTGTACACCTATCACTGGGTAAATACAAAGACTCTATCATAAAAAGACCTGAAGAAATAAAAGTTATTCTTACTGAGTCATCTTAAATTCTCTTTTCTGATAGCAGTTCTTTAAATTTATAACAAAGTACTTCTAAACATATTTATAAAACATGTTTAAAATAATAAAATAATATTTTACAAACTATTTCTCAGATATTAAAATGAACAAAATATTTAAATATTAAAATGTATAGAAGTATGTATATCCATGTTTGTATTCTAATGTACCTTCATTTGTACATGCAATTTTATTAATTTTTATTTGAATTTAAAAAGGAAAACAAAACAACGGCATTAATTGTCTGTTATATAGAGGCTCCATTTAATTATGGGCCTTTTGGAATAAAAAGTGAGTTTGTCTAATTTGATTCAAAATTATCCCAGCAACAGCTACAGTGTTTGCTTGACAAGTAATCTGCAGAGCTGTGCGCTTAACACATATGGATCAATAACAAATCAACAAGTACTTATGACCCTTGAATGGCGAGGGTGTTAGGGGTGCCCACTCTAACTTTTGACTCCCCTGAAACTTAACTGCAGACATCCCTCCCCAATATTCACAGGATGTCTGTTTCATGACCCCTGCAGATACCAAAATCCCCAGATGCTCATGTCTCTTATACAAAATGACGTAGAACAAGGCACAGAGTCAGCTCTCCATATCCACAGGTTCCCATCTGAGGATCAAGAATACTGTTTTCCATTGTGGTCTGCTGAATCTGCTGATGCACAACCCAGGGATGTGGACTGCCAATTGTATATATTTTTTAAAAAATCAATATATAGATGGGTCTGTGCAGATCAAACCATGTTACTCAAGGGTCAACTCTTACAAATAAATAGAAAGGTCTTACCAGATTTGGGGTAGGTGGAGATCAAAAGGTCATCTGGTCGGCTTTCAAACGACTCCACCTGGGACCACTCCTCAGCAATGCTCCAAAAGAGAGGGGTGCCCTGAACATCCACTAACTCCCTTCTGTAGATATCTGGCTTGTTTTCCATTTTTGAGAGACTATAGTTTATACAAAAAGACACAAGTTAAAAAGTTTTTATTTTAGTAGCACTGATCAAGTAAAAGTAAATTTTATTAAATGAAATAATATTCTATTCCTCTAGATCCAGCAGCATCAGATCACAGTACTACTGCGTATTATGAATCAGCAGAAGGAAAAAATGTATTATGAAAACCAATGATGTCTTGCACTATTTATTTCATACGTGATGTTTATATAATAATATTATCAGTACCTTTTATGTGTACTTAAATGTGGACAGTTTTTCCTTGGGCAAAGATTTCTGGGATATGTAATAAAGTTACAGGACTTTGGAGTTTGAACTGTCTTTCTTAACCACCACACTGTCAATTCATTACAGTGGGAATCTGAATAAGCTCCATAACTGCATTGAGCTGTCTTAACTATAAAACCAGAAGTAGCTTAACTTAGTACTTCTCTCTCTCAAATCACTGCCTAGGCTGATAAAAGTAAATTATTCTAAGTCATCTACAAGAGACTACAGGAATAAAAAGGGGGGTCAAGAAGAAAAGAACCCAAGGTAAATCCAGCATTGGAAGGACATTGTTCTGATGAACTTTTCAGTTTTAGTGACATATGTTACATTCTTTAGATGTCATATGTAAAAAGTGGAAAAGTTTGAAATATAACTTAAGTCCTACTCCACAAAGCATGTTGTTTCCCAGTTTAACATGAGCTGAGTGGTTATTTTTCTTTCTCTGAAGTTCTAGGAAAATAATTAAAAAGCCTTGCTGAGACCCTTTAGCAGCCACTGAATCTTTCTTCAGTAACTAAAATTGGAAGTCTCTGAAGTCAATCAACATAACTTGTACCTTTTTCCAAAGTGTTATATTTTATCTTCTCTTTTTCTTTATTTTCAAGTCCTCCAATTCTACCCTTATTTTACCTCATCCCAAGTACCTTTTTTATTTTAAAAGGTTTTGAAGTTGCAGGATACAAAATCATATGTAAAAAATCTGTTGTATATCTATATCACAAAGAGAAATTAATAAAATAACCCCATTTGCAATTGCATCAGAAAATAAAATACCTAGGAATAAATTTAACCAAATAGGTAAAACACCTATACAGTAAAAACTATGAGACATTAAAGGGAGGAAACTGAAAAAAACACAAATATATGGAAAGATATTCTGTGCTCATAGATTGGGAAAATAAACATTGTTAAAATGTTCAAACCACCCAAGATAACCTACAGATTCAATTCAATCCTTATCAAAATTCCAATGACATCTTTCACAGAAATAAACATTCCTAAAGTTTGTACAGAACCAAAAAAGACTCAAAATAACCAAAGCAATCTCAAGAAGGAAGGACAAAGCTGGACAGGCATTATGCTCCATGATATCAAACTATACTATATATGGTATTCAATATTTTTGACCATATATCTTTCTGAAACTTTCTTGATTTTTATGTTACCACATTCTGATTGGTCTTTCATCTCTTTAATTCTTAATATTTCAAAGGAATATTTAGGACAGCATTGTTGTTCTTCTTGGAGTCCCCTAGTTCCTGGCTGGCTCTCTTATTGTAGATACTTTTCCATGATTTTAACCGCCACCTGTGAGCTGATCCTCCAGAAGATAGATTTGTCATTTGTTCATTCTGAGCTTGAGACCTTCATATCCAAGTGCTATTGCTCATTTTTCCCTGACATTCTTTAGACATCTCAGATTTAATAATCACAAATTTAACTCACAAACCTTGCTTTGCAGTGACCAGTTCTTGTCCTAGAATCACTGTGTACCTTATTAATTTGGTGATACCACATTCACCTCACCACTCAAGTCTGAAATCTGGAAGTCATCTTAGATTCTGTCTTCTCTTTGATTTTTCCAAAACTAATTGGCTCACAAATCTGGTTTTTTCTTTTCCTTCAAGTATCCCTGTGAAAAGCAGCTTCTCTTTATGAACTAGCTTAGCAGTTAAGACTATAAGGTCTCCAAATTTATAATTAATATGCTAGATCTGTCATTCATTATCAGCGTGACTTTGGACAAATCAAAATTCTGAGTTCAATTTTCTAATCTTAAAATGGAGGTAAGATTTACTAACTTTTTGCAGCTATTGCTGCTACACGCGGTAGAGGAATAATATGATGGATATAATGTGTATGTTGATAAAACATGGTATATATTTAGTAAATAGTAGCTATTATTTATATTATTATTATTATTATTACCCAGAAAAATACAGGTATGTCTTAATTTATATCCTTATCATTATAAACCTTGTACTATGGCAATGGTCTTAACATTTTGTCCCCTTATCTCTAAGTTCCTTGCCAACTCTCAGTAAGATATCTCTAAAACCTGATCACAACCACGTAGCTGAGAGGGTAAAGTTTCAAGAGCTGATCCTGATCCTCCCTCTGATTACCTCCACTGCACTTAGGCTTTAGCCTCTAGAAACATGCAATTAAAAAAAAAAAAAAGCATCCACACCCTCACATCTACCTGTTGGAACTGCATCTTCTGTCTGAGCTGATACTGTTACTTCTCTTATCTACCTGTAAAACTCCTGTTTGTTTCTCAAAATTTTTTACAAATTACTCCTCTTCTGAAAAGTCTTCCTCATGACCTAAAAACAAATCTCTTTTCCACTAACAGCTCTCTCTTTTCCATTTTCTTCTCTTGAATATACTGTTATTATTTTATGCATTTTTAGTGTGTTATTATCACTTCACAATGTCTGTTTCTTTGATAAGAACTTAGGTTCCTCATCCTAGCAGGCCTTTACTTTATTGAAGTTAATAAATGTGTACAGAAATGAAATGAATTTTCACTAATGCTCCAGGAGGAATAACTAAGGATTGAATTATTTTATGTTACTATTATAACTTTATAACTTTGGTTAGCAACTGACACTTTGGGATATACTAGAAAGTATCAGTCAGTAGGTCATAAACCCAATCAACAAGGAGTTTACACTCTAAATCATTATTCAAAATACACGCACACTCCCTCATACATATACACCCTCACAACCCTGTTTTCAGTGCATGTATCGCTTTTTAATTTTCATAAAAGTCTTCTCATTTAAATCCTCCCCCATTTTATTAAGGGGGAAATTAACATATAGAAAGCTTAAGAAGCTTGTCCAGGTCTCACTGTCAGTAAGCAGCAGGACTGGGTTTGAACCAAAGTAACCTGACAACAGAGTCAGCGACACTAATTACTTTTCTGTACTACCTCCAAAATACAAACATTGAAAAGATACATTGCAGTACAAGGCAACATAGGAGAATTGTCATATTATGGTAAGTTGGTTGTCAGGCCTGTAGTACAGGTAGTGTGATTTGATTTTAACCATGAAATTTAGTTAATTAAAGATACAAAAGAATATTCTATGTAGGAAAGATATGCAGTATTCCTTTTTGCTCAATATTGCATACTTTAAGGTGCTTTATGGAGATTTAATCTACTACAGTGCATATAAAATGAGTTTTAGAAAATCTGATTCACACTGATTTGTTTTAATAATATTTTTATTTATTATTTACATATTTTAGATAAGTATATAAAATTTTATTAGAACCATTTCTAAAGAAACAAATTGTACATTTTTAACCATGTTTTATGTATGAAAACTGTATAATAAAATATTTTAACTTAAATTATGTAGTTTCCATATCTTGGCATATCTGTAGTTTTGCTAATACCTGGTTATTTTAGATCATCCCTTGAAGATGAACTAATCACATCAGTGTATTCAAATTTTGCATGAGTTCAATTGTTTAAATTAGCATTATGACTCCTAATGAAGTCAAATTTAACTTACCTTTAAACTCCTGAGAGCTTTAAATGATCCTCAAGTTAAGAATCAGAGCTGAAAAAAATCATTAAAAGGGTGGTACTTTTAAGTGGCGTATAACACTGTGAGAGATACTGAGTTGGTAAAAGCTCATGAAGTGTTGTAGATGATCATGTCCCTTAGGCATTTTTTGTTTACTTCTCTGAAGATGTCCCTTGAAATATAACTTCTTCTAGAGGATAACTCTAAGACCGTGGAAACAATTTAATATCCTTCATGCTGTTAAAGTCATTGTTAGTCCATGTTTACCTGAATTAAACTATTGACCCTTAGGCCCATTGGCAAGTTAAAATAATGAAATATTGTACCTAAAGATATGATGTGCCTTAGTCATTAAGAAAAAAAGTGAATATTAAACTGAAAATTCATTATTCCCCTAGAAAATGATATCTTTATGTTTAACAGATTCTGGGCCTAAAAAGAACAGATTTTATTAGCTTCTTTTTGAATATGTAAAAGCTAAACTATCATAATGATAAGAATGTTGTATTTGTGGGAGTTTTCTCAGCACAGTATTGGGAACCGAAGATAGGCATTTGAGCCCAGCTCTTCTGTGAACCAGCAGAATGACCCTCATACTTATTTCCTATTTCTGAGCCATAGTTTACCTGTCTAAAAATATGGCAAATGTACAAAGTGGTCACTCCAGTTTGTTTCATCTCTAAAATTATACAATTTTAAGTGAAATTAATATTCTTTGATTAGCAAACTATGTTTTTTAAGTCACAACAGAAGAAACAAGAATGAGCAGTTGAGCAAAATAGTACTTTATTGCTGAAAATCCCATTAAAATACTGCTTCACGTTTATAAAAACTTAAAGTAGAGATTTATAAAAGCTTCTAATTTATAAAAACTTAAAAGCCATAAAATGTTATTCTGTACTCTACACATGACTTGTGGTGGTTTATCTCTGAAATAATTGATTCAATTTCTTGGCTTTTGACTATTGCATTTTGTTGTTCACTGGATACCTAGGAAAGAGGCCATGTTCTTTTCCTACACACTGTATTTTATGAATAATCTTACTTTATATTCCATAATTAAATCTAGTTAGCTAAAACAACGTGGAGTAATATTAAGGTACAGACTATGAAGAAGATTAATGTTTATAGAACACTTATAGGCATTATAATTTCCATATTATATATTTCATGTGGTATTTGTTTTGTTCTGACTGGCTTATTTCACTTAGCATAACACTCTCCAGGTACATCCATGTTGTTGCAAAAGGTAGGATTTCTTCTTTTTTTACAGCTGAGTAGTATTTCACTATGCAAAAGTACCACAGCTTTCTGATCCATTCATTTACTAATGAGCACTTACTTGGGCTGCTTCGAAAACTTGGCTATTGTAAACATCGCTGCAATGACCATAGGAGTGTATATATTCTTTCAAATTAGTGTTTTAGGTTTCCTTGGATAAATTCCCGGAGGTGGAATTGCTGGGTCATATGGCAGTTCCATTTTTAAATTCTTGAGGAAACTCCATACTGTTTTCCATAGTGGCTGCCCCAACATTCCCAATAGTGCACAAGGGTTTCCTTTTCTCCACATCCTCACCAACACTTGTTTTTTGTTGGTTTATTGATGACAGCCATTCTGACAAGTGTGAAGTGATAGCTCATTGTGGTTATAATTTCCATGTTTTTGATGATTAGTGATGTTGAACACCTTTTCATATATCTATTGACCATTTGTATGTCTTCTTTGGAGGAATATCTATTCAGGCCCTTTGTCCTTTTTTAAAAAAATTTGATTGTTTGTATTTTTGGTGTTGAGTTGTATTAGTTCTTTATAAATTTTGACTATTAACTGATTATCAGATGTATCATTGATGAACATTTTCTCTTATTCAGTGAGTTGTCTTTTTGTTAATGGTTTCCTTTGTTGCACAAAAACTTGTTAGTTTGATGTAGTCCCATTTGTTTACCTTTTTTTTTTTTTGTTTCCCTTGCTCAAGAAGACATAGGCAAAAAAAAATTTGGTATGAGAAATGTATGATAGTTTACTGCCTATGTTTTATTCTAAGGTTTTTATGGTTTCAAGTGTTACATTAAAATACTTAATACATTTTGTGTTTTTTGTTGTGTATGGTGTAAAAAGGTAGCCCAATTTTATTTTATTTTTTTCCAAGTAACTGTCCAATTTTCCCAGCACCATTTATTGAACAGACTATCTTTACCCCATTGTAAATTCCTGCCTCCTTTGTCAAATAATAATTGACCAAAAAGGCATAAGTTTATTTCTAGGCTTTCTTTTCTGCCTCATTGATCTATATGTCTGTTTTTATGCCTGTACCATGCTGTTTTTATTAGTATGACTTTAAACTACATAGTTTTATATCAGGTAGCATGATTCCTCCAACTTTGTTCTTATTAAGTTTGTTGTTGCTATTCAGGGTCTTTTGTGGTTTCATATAGATTTTTGGTGTATGCATTCTAGTTCTGTAAAATACAGAGTTGGTATCTGGATAAGAATTGCATCGAATCTATAGATTGCTTTGGGTAGTACAGACAATGTGACCATGTTAATTCTTCCTCTCCATGTACATGGTATGTATTTTCACTTATTTGTATCTTTTTCAATGTATTTCTTCAGTGTCTTATAAATTTATGAGTACATCTCTTTTGCTTCCTTGGTTAAATTTATTCCCAGGTTGGTTTTTTTTAATTTTTGATGAATTATGAATGGGATCATTTTCTTAGTTTCCCTTTATATACCAATAATGAACAAAAAGGATTTAAACTGGTATATAAAAATGCAACTGATCTCTACATATGTATTTTGTATCCTGTTACTTTACTGAATTATCAATTCTAACAGTTTTTTTTTGTGGAATCTTCAGGGTTCTTTATATACAATATCATGTCATCTGAAAATAATGACAGTTTTACTTCTTCCTTTCCAATTTGGTTATCTTTTATTTATTCTTGTCTGATTGTTGTGACTACATTTTCAGTCATATGTTGAATAAGAGTGGAGAAAGCAAACATCCCTGTCTTTCTTTTTAGTTTTCGCCTACTGAATAAGATATTGGCTGTGGGTTTGTCAATATAAGAGTACTTTCACTAACAGTGGCATATTATTATTCTCCTTTAAAATGTTTCCTTCTTTCTTGCTCATCTTTAACTTCTGTAAGTACATGAGTTTCTTTTCATAGCATGAGTTTCTTTTGAAGATAGGAGACAAATGCAGTGTGTTTGAGAAATAATGGTATTTATGTAAACTAAAAGCATTGTTAATTTCTGCTAATTTGAGAAGACTATCACCTTTTGAAATCAGTTTTTAGCACTCTCTCACAGCTATTTGTATCAAATTTCAGACTGCAAGAGAACATTGCTCTTAGGTGCAATGAACAAAGGTATACATTTGTTAACATTCCAAGGAGTACAAAGAATCGCATTGATGTTGAAAACACCCTCTAAATTCTGTGGACCATGATGAGATACTGAGTCTGATGACCCAAAACGAACTTTTTTTAATGACATAAAAACTTCTTTTAGCTTTTCTGAAGACTTAAATATCATATGACAGTATACGGCTTCAACTGTACATTGTCTGGATTTTAAATTGGGGATATAATGATTTAAGTCCAGTACAGCTTTATACTTGTTGATTGTGAACAAATTTACATACCATTAAAAATAAAAATATAATTTTAGAACAGTTCAGAACATTGGCTAATAAACCTGAGGAAAATATTTATTTTTAAAAAGTATTTTATACCTCGATACCCTGGTAGTCCAAGGCCCCCACTGAAGATACATATCCAGTCACTTAGAGCTGTCTCAGGGGATCAGCTTTTACTTCCCAGTGGAATGGACCCACTCGACAACAAGGAAATCCAGATATGGGCAGGCCAATGTAGGGAATGACTCCTCCCAGGGGAATGGTGCCCTTAGGACCACAGAAGTATGGAGGGGTAATGAGATCCCCACTGTATGTTTTAGGTGGCCTTGGAATGCCTGAAATGAACATGGGCCCAGGTGGTGGTAGACCTTGGCCAAACCCAACAAATTCCAACTCAATACCATATTCCTCAGCATTTCCTGGGAGTTATGTAGATCCTCATGCCTAGTCCAGCAGATTCAACCAACTCAGGAGACAACACGTATACTTTAATGAATACAGTACGTCCTGGACCTAACAGGCCTACTTTTCCAATGGGCCCTGGTTCAGATGGACCCATAGTTGGATTAGGAGGAATGGAGACATATTACATTAATGGCTCTTTAGGTTCAGAAGACATGGATAGTATTTCTAAGAATCTCCCAATAATAAGAACTTGGGTGATCAACCAGGCACTCCAAAGGATGTACACAAATCATTTTGGGCAAGATCTGATTTTTATGTTCTTATACATAGAATTTTTAAGAACTCATCCTAGCAGTGGTTTATACAAGAATATTCCTTTAAACTAAACAGAAAAACTGAGAAGGTAAAAGACTTTTAAAAGTATATTTAATTTTATAAACTTAAAATTAGTAGAGCAGACTACCTCAATACAATTTTAAATATGACATATAATCCTGTCCATTTATGATAGGAAATCAGGACCCAATAATTCCCAAATAGTTACTTTTTTAAGGCAAAACCTCCATAGGAGAGTTTTCCAGTTCTCATTTTCTAATTTTTTGATTATTAAGTTCAGTTTTATACAAAATACTGGCGCTTTAAAGATAGCTCATAAATCACTTACCAAGTACTTGTCTTAACAACCTGGAGGTCTAGATTTTGCTTCTATAGTAATGGATCGGCAGAAATTTCACCCTGTTGTTTGAGTCAACCAAGATAACCAGCTGTATGCATTAAGAAAAATGGGAGGTCTACAGAGCAGTAACACATTAATGATTAAGCTGTACAAAGTCCACTGTTGTTCTGAAAATGAAAGGAGTAAGGGAAAGATTTTTGCAGTCGCTCATGGGAAGAAATAGAATGAAACAAAAAACCCATGAAAAGCATCTAGAATTAAGTGCTGTCAAGTAATTACGTATAGTAAATGAAGGGACTTTTATATTTGCTTCTGATTTCAATTATAAAAGCAAGCCAAAACACAGGTGGCTGTTTTGTGCTTCCAGTGATCCTACTAGAAACCCTCTCTCTCTCTTTTTTTAAAGAGTGTATTTATTTATTTATTTTTAGAGAAAGGAAGGGAGGGAGAAAGAGAGGGTGAGGAACATCAACGTGTGGTTTGCTTTTCACTTGCCCCCTATTAGGGACCTAGCCCGCAACCCAGGCATGTGCCCTGACTGGGAATCAAACCAGGGACTCTTTTGTTTGCAGCCAGGCACTCAGTCCACTGAGCCACACCAGCAAAGTAAACCCTCTCTTAAAGGTGGTTTTTCTGTACCTCCAAACCTGTATGGGCAATTTAGACAGGCAAGAACATGCTCCCCGTGTAGGAGCATAGGGGAAAAATATAGCCAGAAACTTGGAGCATATTCTGAAACAGGATAGTAAGAAGCTAGGAAAATACCTAGGCAAGTGGAATGCGGAAACAGACAAAATCCTTAAACAAGGCCAAACAATTTGACCAAACTACCAACAGCTTGTGAGTAGCAAAACCTTATCTTTCCTAACAAAGGGCACTTGAGAGTAAATGGTTTATAGTTCTCCTCAATGACCAGAGAATAAATAGTCTAAATCACTTGGTCAGGAAGATAGAGGACAGAGAACCAGGAAATAAATGTCATTTGTGCCAGCCAAACCCAAGGATGGATGAAGTCAGGGGAACAAATAGCAAAAACCTTATTATAGCCAGACAGACCCAGGGTAAAAGTAAAACAATAGTCCTGGCCTGGTAGCTCAGTTGGTTAAAGCATCATCCTGATATGCCAAAGCTGTGGGTTCAATCCCTGGTCAGGACACACATAACAATCTACCAATGAATGCCGAAATAAATGGAATGACAAATCAATATCCCCCTTCTCAAATAAATTAATATTTTTTTAAAACTATAAAGCTAAACAAAGAATAATCCCAAACTTTCCTATACTCTCTCTCGTTTTGATGCAGCAGCATTTTAAAAACCCCTGGAAAGGTGATGAATATTCCCCTTGACACCTTCCTCTAAAATTCTCACCCACGGAAGACAGATAAAAATATTCAAGACCAAAGATACCAGCATGGACTCTGTCTCTGGAGCACACCCATGACTTTTCTCAGGCAAGAAATTTTTCCTTTTCCTCTGAGTCCCAAGAAGATTTGCAACCAGGGAAGCACTGGGCAGCTGCAGCTCATCCTGAGCTTACCCCCTGAACCTGTCTCCAAGGCCTCCATTTACTCTGACTCTCAGTGACCTAACAGAAGCCCCACCTCGGCTTGCTTCCCTGTAACGCTTCTAGGGAAACAAAGAAGAGCATGGTCTAGGCTTCCTGCTGTTGTTTCCTCTACCCTAAGTCTTTCCTTTGTTTCACTGTTCCCAGCTTTAGGTAATGTACTCTCAAAATTACCTGAACTTATGTTGAGAAACTTTTCCTGCATAAAGTCAAAAACCCACACACGACCGGCTGGCCTAAGGCAGACCCACTCTAGGCCCAATCCTTGTCTGGTAACAATAATATAAAATATTTACATTTTCATATTTTCTTGAATGAGAAGTTTCAAATTTTATTATTATACAGATTGATAAATTCCAAAATTTTAAACACTTAACCCTTTCCCAGCATCATTATTTCAGGGTCTAGAGACAAAAAGAAATCACATCTTAGAAAGTATTTGGGTCATACGAAAAATGATGAGAGCCTCAAACCAGTTTTTGGATTTTGAAAAAGGCATTTTTACCACAGTCACTGCTATTACTATGTAACTAAGAAAGATGATATACAGACCTGCTTTTGAATGGTATATACATAACTTAAGGTATAGAATTGTCACTGTCCAAGGACCAGGTCTGGAACTGGTCTGTCTCAGGTGGGCCTAGAGTATGTGGGTTTTTGATCCCATTGTGTATGATGTTGGCAGCAGGTTTTTCGTGTATAGCCTTTATTATATTGAGGTATGCTCTCTCTATTCCCACTTTGCTGAGTGATTTTATCATAATGAGTGCTTGCTTTTATCAAATGCTTTTTCTGCATCTATTGACATGATCATGCGACTTTTGTCCTTTATTTTGTTTATGTGGTGGATCATACTTGATTCACAAACATTGTACCATCCTCGCATCCCTGGAATAAATCCCACCTGATCATGGTGTATGATCTTTTTAATATATTGCTGGATTTGGTTTGTTAGCATTTTGTTGAGGATTTTAAAATCTATGTTCATCAGAGATATTGGCCTGTAGTTTTCTTTGTTGTGTCTTTACCAGGTTTTTGGATTAGGATAACACTTGTCTCATAAAGAGTTTGTGGAGTCTTCCCTCTTCTTCTACTTTTTGGGAATAGTTTGAGAGAGATGAAGTTTACTTCTTCTTTTAATGGATGGTAAAATTTGCCTGTGAAGGCATCTGGTCCAGGGCTTTTATGTGCCAGGAGTTTTTTGATTGCTGGTCTAATCTCTCTAGTTGTTATCAGTCTTTTCAGGTCTTCTGCTTCTTCCTGAGTCAATTTTGAAAGCTTGTATGTTGCTAGAAATTTATCTGTTTCACCTAGGTTGTCCAGTTTCTTGGCATATAGTTGTTCATAGTAATTTCTTACAGTCTTTTGTATTTCTGTTGTATCATTGTTACTTTTCCTCTTTCATTTCTAATATTATTTATTTGAGTCCTCTTTTTTTTTTCTTGATGAGTCAGGTTGAGGATTTGTCCATTTTGTTTATCTTTTCAAAAAATCAGCTCCTGGATTCATTGATTCTTTGAATTTTTTCCCCCATTTTCTGCATCATTTAATTCTGCTCTGATCTTGATTATTTCCTTCTTCCTATTCCCTCTGGAATTCGTTTGTTGTTGTTTCTCTAGTTTTTTTAGATGTATGCTTAGGTTGTTTGTTGGAGATTTTTCTGTCTTCTTTAGATAGACCTGTATGCATTGAACTTCCTTTCAGGACTGCTTTTGCTGTGTCCCATAGGTTTTGAGACGTTGTGTGTCCCAGGTACTTTTTGATTTCTTCCTTGATCTCATTGTTAACTCATTCATTATTTATTAACAAATTATTTAGTCTCCATGCACTTGAATGTTATTGAGTTTTTTTTCCTTGAGGTTGACTTTCAGTTGCAAGCCATTGTGATCCCAGAAGATGCTTGATATGAATTTAAATTTCTTGAATTTGTTAAGGCTTATTTTGTGACTTACCAAGCGGCTTATCTTTGAACATGATCCTTGTACATTTGAGAAGAATGTATATTTTGCTTCTTTGTGAGGTAATATTCTATAAATATCTTAAGTCCCTTTGATCTAGTGTGTCATTTAATGCTATTATATTCTTGTTGAATTTTTGTTCAGAAGGCTGTCCATTGTTGACAGTAGGGTGTTAACATCCCCTACAATGACTGTATTGCTGTCAATTTCTTTCTTAAAATCCTCCAAGAATTTCTTTATATACTCATATTTAGGTGCTCCTATATTGGGTGCATATATGTTTACAAGGCTTATGTCCTCTCGTTGGACTACTCCCTTAAGTATTATATAGTAACTTTGTCTCTGAGGTGGCCTTAGTTTTGAAGTATTTTTTTTCTGATAATGGTATTGATACTCCAGCTTTTTTTTCCATGTCAATTTGCATGGAATATTTTCATTCATCTCTTCACTTTTAGCCTGTGTAAATATTTTGTTCTGAGGTGGGTCTCTTGTAGACAGCATATACGCAGGATGTGCTTTTTTAATCCATTCAGCTACTCTATATCTTTTGATTAGAACATTTAATTTATTTATAGTTAAGGTTATTATTGAAAGGTACTTATTCATTGCCTTTTTTTCCCTTTGTACCCATGTACCTCACTCTATTTATAATTCTTCTTAAAGTATCCCTTTAGCATCTCTTGCAATGCTGGTTTGGTGGAACGGTACTCCACGAGGCTTTTTTTTTTCTAATTTGGGAAACTTTATTTCATCTTTTGTTGAGAAACAAGCTGATAACTTTACTAGAGTTCTTTTGTAAATAACTAAATGTTTCACTCTTGCTAACTTTAAAATTATCTCTTTGTCTTTAAATTTTGCCATTTTAATTGTGATGTATCTTGGTGGTGGTCTTTTTGGGTTTATCTTGACTGGGACTCTCTGTGCTTCCTGAACTTGCAGGACTCTCTCCCTAATGAAATTAGGGAAGTTTTCTGCCATTATTTCTCCAAACAGGTTTTCTATGCTGTGCTCTGTCCTTCTCTTCCTTGAATCCCTATGATGCTAAGATTGTTATATTTCGTGTTGTCTCAAAACTCTATTAAACATTTTTATTTTTCTTGAATCCTTTTTCATTCTGTTTCTCTGATCGGGTGTGTTTTTTTCCTATCTTGTCATCCAACTCACTGATTTGATCCTCTGCTTCGTCCAGTCTGCTTTTATCTCTTCCTACTGTGCTCTTCATTTCTGACATTGCATTCTTCATTCCCAACTGGTTCTTATTCAAGGTTTCTATGTCATTTTTCATGCTGACATAGTTTGCACTAAGTTCCTTGTAGTTCTCACTAAGTTTTTTGAGCAGTCTTATAACCATTACTTTGAACTTCTGATAAATTGCTTGCCTCTGTTTAATTTAGTTCTTTTTCTGGAGATTCCTCTTTTTCTTTCCTTTGGAGGTTGTTTCTGTGTCTCACCATTTTAGTTGTCTCTTTATGTTTGTTTGTACATGTTAGATTGATCTGCTTTGATCCCTGTCTTGTGGAGTGGCCTTATGTGTTAGGAGTCTTGTGGCACCCAGTGGTTCAGACTCCATGATCT